AGCCCTTCCCCTCCTCTTCTTTTAACTTATTAACTACTATAAATTACTAAATCCTAATGTATTCTTAATGTATTCTTAATGTATTCTTAATCTATTCTTCTTAATCTATTCTTAATCTATTCTTAATCTATTCTTAATCTATTATAAAACCATTCTTAATACATTCTAACTCTAGTCTTAATACATTATTAACCTATTTCTAAGAAGGAGAGTAAGAGGGAGAGAGAGAGGGAGAGGGAGGAAGAGAGGTTAGGAGTAGGAGTAGAAGTAGGAGTAGAAGTAGGAGTAGAAGTAGGAGTAGTAGTAGAAGGAGGAGGAGGAGGAGTAGAAGAAGTAGAAGAGAAAGGAAGGGAGAGAGAGGGAGAGGGGAAGTCACTTATATTAATTAGGTAGTAGCACGTGTAGGAAGGTAGCTTTTCATTCGTTCTCTAGCTACATCATCATGGGTATCTTTATTACTCCTACTCCTTTGTCCTATCCCCCCTAACTTTATAGTAACATAAGAAAAGAAGAAGAGAAGCGCTACTACTAGCACTACTACTAGTGCTACTACTAGCCCCATCTCATAGGTGCTAGTTCTATAGGAGATAGATGTGCTAGTTAATCATGGCTTAGAGGTAGGTTAGGTCTAAGCTAGCATAAGGCTAATAGAGATTAATGCTAGAGAGGGTGATTAATGTCCTAGTTAGGGCTAGCATGGCGTTCCTACTAATGGTGTAGGTAACAATGTAGAAATTAAGGCAACCATAATGGTTAAACACTATAACTATAGCGTTTAGGATGGTGCTACTACTAAGGGGGGCATGAGCCTAAGTTCCCACCACTACCTTGTTACTAAGTATAGGATTTTCTACTAGCACTATGTGCATCCTAGGAGATCTAGCTAAGCGACTCCCTATAGTTAGAAGACGAGGAGTACTACTACTACTACTACTACTACTACTACTACTACCACCTAATTAAGGAGTAGGAGGGGGTGTGGTTTAGCGTTAAGGAGATGGCTTAAATCATAGAGAAGGAGGAGGAGGGTAAGGATGGGCACTAGTGCTAAACATCCTATAGCTACGTTAGCTCTAGAATATATTCTCATAGCTACTACTACTACTAGGTAGAGGAGGAGTAGGGGATGGCATAGGAGGAGCATGGTTAGAGACATCATTAGAGTCGTCTAAGGTAATGGTGTGTAGGTTCTAGGTAGTAGCGCTAAGGGGAGGAGTCCTCTTATAGCACGTGTATCCTAAACGATCCCTATTATAGCTACTAGTAGAGGTGCTAGGTAGTAGGGTGCACTTACGTCACATGTAGCCTAAGAAGTCTCTAGTCTAATTACTACTAGGGGTGGCTCCTATGTAGGAGCTCAACTAAGTCTGTAGTAAGGATCTCATAGAAGAGTTAGAGTAGTAGTACTCATGGTAGTTGTAGTCCTAGTAGTAAGGAGGTAGGCAAGATAGGCAAGGGGGTAGTGTATAGAAGGGATTATCATTCTCCTTATAGGCTAGGTGGTGCTAGTAGGGTGCTAGTGCTAGCGCTAGTTAGCTAGGGCCATAAGTAGGAGTAGAAGTAGTATAGGAAGGGGTGGTAGCATAAGGGACGAACACTCTAGGGGTGCTAATCTTAAGCTTGCTAAAAAAGGTACATGGTTTCCCCTCCTACTAGCAGTAGCATCCCTACTGTTGCTTAGGCGCCTTAGTAGTAATCTTATAGAGATAGTTATAGGCTAAGTTAATGTCTGCCTAGGTAGGGAAGGTAGGGGTGCTAGCAGTGGCCATGGTGTAGAGGAGATGGCTATAGGCATAGCAGAAGCGCTATCTAAGCTACTCTGTAGTGTAGGTGGTAGTAGGGATGCTAATCACGTCATAGGGGTTGAAGTTAGGGATGGTAGTAGTAGAACGTTAGGTGAACTCCTTAGGATCGTTAATGCCCTTACTAGTAGCGTTCTTAGACATGTTGCTTAAGAGAGGGAGTGGTGCTAGTAGTGGTTGTCTAGGAGAGTAAGAGTGAATTTAAGTTAAGGGGGTAGGGAAGAGGGTAGAAGAAGGGCTCTTATGCTTTAAGAACGTGTAGTTAGCAGTAGTAGGTAGTGGTTAGTAGTAGTATAGTATAGTGTATAGTGTAGTATAGTGTAGTATAGTAGTAGTAGTAGTAGTAGAGAGATGAAAGAGAGAAGAAGAGAGAGAAGAAGAGAGAAGAGAGAAGAGAGGAGGGGGTAGTGTGTATATATATATGTGTATAGGAGCAGCTTAGCTCTAATGGTGGTAGTAGTAGTAGTAGTAGCTTAGAATTAAAGAAAAAGTATAAAGGAAGAAAGAAGAAGTAGTAGCTAAAGAGCTTAATCTATAGACCTCTAGCTTAAGGAGCTAGACTGTCCTAATTTAGTAGAACTAAGCTTAAGAGTAGCGTTTCTACTAGATTAGGCACGTAGGTTCTATAGAGCTGCTATGACAATGGGAGTAAACTCCTATTTAGACCTACATAACAATAGGAGCTAGCCCTACTACTAGCCCTACTACTTGCTAGCGTTAATAGGCATGACGTCCTATTAAGGGTATGTAATAATAGGAGACACCCCTATAGACCCATGTGACGCTAAGAGTAAATTCTAATTAGGCCCTATGTGACGCTAAGAGTGAATTCTAATTAGGCCCTACATGATGCTAAGAGTAAATTCTAATTAAGCCCTATGTAACGATATGAAGGGGACCCCCCCCTACCCCCTTCTACTACTATACCTACTGTTGCTTAAACCTTAATCTACTCCTATGCCTAATCTAGCAAGACGTTACCCCTAAGCTTAAGTTTAGCTAGATTAGGCACGCTAGCCCTATATGCTAGAGAGCTCTCTAAGCAGGAGCTTGCTACCTACTTCTTCTTCCTTCCTCCTTTATACTTTTCTTCTAATTTAGGGCTGTCTATGTCATAACTACTACTACTACTACTAAAGCTTAATCTCTCTCTCTCTCTTAAGAGAAACCTTCATCTCTTTACTACTACTAAACACACTCTCTCTAATAGCATAAGCACTTCTCCTAGCACTTCTCCCCCCCCCCCCCTCTCTTTAACTTATACACACTTTGTCTTCTAGATACTACTGCTACTAATACTACTACTACTACTACTAACAACATGTCTAACGCTAACGCCACCCCTAGACGTAATTAGGAAGGAGATGTCTCTAGCTACTCCTACCATGAACGCACTCTACTAATTAGGAGCACTTATAACCTATAGCCTGTCCCCTCTAATGATGACAAGGACAATGAGGACAATGAGGATGACAAGGACAATGAGGACGATAAGGATGATGAGGATGATGAGGACAATGATGAGGATGACACGCCACCCCCTCTAGCACTAGCCCTAGGTTGTAGCTCCCTATCTCTACTACCTATATACTCTCTTACTATCCCTAGTACTAGCTTAGCCTTTGTGCTAGTTGCTAACCTAGTTACTAACTAGGAGATTGTCGTTAGGACATAGGCTAACTACATGACCCTAGGCCCCCCTAACCTTATAGTGGCCTTCTTTAACAACTATAGCTACCTCTTCTTCTACATCACTAAGCATAACTAGCTTAGGGACCACCTACTACTAGATCTAGTGACCTCTACTACCTTCCTCCTCTTAATTAACCTCTACTAGCCCTATGCTAGCCTTACCCCTACCTATCTCTATATAATGATTAACAAACACATCTATCTCCCTCTAAACTAGCACCTATAATTTAAGATGGTAGTAATAGTAGTAGTAGTAGTAGTAGTAGCACTTCTCTTATTCTCTTGTTCTCTTGTTCTCTTATAGTAGAATAGATGAATAGAGAATTAATTAAGATACGTAGCTATAGAATGAAAAGGCTACCTTCCCTTCCTAAACGTACTACCCCTAGACGTGACGCTCTAAAACAACCTAGGTAGTAAAGTAGGTATATAGGTAGGTAAGTGTACTTCTATGTAGAGATGGTAGTAGTAGTAGCTATAGTAGTAGTAGTGGCTATTAGCTGTTGTTAATTAGAGTGAATTCCCATTAACCTACATAACTATATAAAATAGACCCACCTATGCTTACCTATTATAATTAGGAGTTAACTAACCCCTTTCTATAGCATGTAATGTTAGCTACTAGTTATCTAACTATTAGGTAATGGTTAGCTATCCTTAAGCTAATAACCCCTTTCTATAGCACATGATGTTAGCTACTAGTTATCTAACCATTAGGTAATAGTTAGCTATCCTCTAGCTATTATAATGCTAGTACTTTAACACTAGGTCTACTAAGGCCCCTATAGCTCTCTATCCTTACCTAGTATACATAGACAATATAAGTAGGAAGGAGCTAGCTTTAATAGGAAGCTAGTAGCTAGTTTAACAGCTACCTATAAATATACTATAATTACCTATTAAAACCCATGCTACTTACCTATCTTAGATTACTAAGTAATATAATTCTTATACATAGACAATCTTATAATAGTTAGATTATATATAATTCTATGTTTTTAAGTTTTTAAGAGGTTATTATAAGTTGTTATATTAGTTGCTCTTATTCTTATTCTTATTCTTAGTTATATTCTTATTCTTATTCTTATTCTTATTCTTATTCTTATTCTTATTCTTATTCTTATTCTTATTCTTATTCTTATTCTTATTCCTCTACTCTCTACTACTCTCTA